CGAGAGATTCAGATGCCCTCCCCTGATACGAGGACACAGATTTAGCATGAAACACATCAAATACACATTGTTATTCTTCCAATGAAAGTCCACACGAAACATCCAAACTGCTGACCTGTGTGAGTGTGGGTCTGACCTGTGTGAGTGTGGGTCTGACCTGTGTGAGTGTGGGTCTGACCTCTGTGAGTGTGGGTCTGGCCTCTGTGAGTGTGGGTCTGACCTGTGTGAGTGTGGGTCTGACCTGTGTGAGTGTGGGTCTGACCTGTGTGAGTGTGGGTCTGACCTGTGTGAGTGTGGGTCTGACCTCTGTGACTGTGGGTCTGACCTGTGTGACTGTGGGTCTGACCTCTGTGAGTGTGGGTCTTACCTCTGTGAGTGTGGGTCTGACCTCTGTGAGTGTGGGGCTGTGTCGGGGCAGGCACGGACATTATTGTGTTTTGTTAAAGAGCAACTCTCATTTGCAAGAGTTCCCCATTACACAAAAATGTAGGGAAGATTTAAAATTGGGGTCAGGTTCGGGCAGTGGGCTTCGTGTCGTGCGCAGACTCGGGTCACTCTGCCGCTCGGTGCATTAAGACTAAAGTAAAAGTGTTACAGTTGCGTTCATTAAATCAAAGTCTGGCTCCTACAGTGTCCAAGGGAAGAGTTTTGTCTCAGGTCGGGTCATTATTTCGTCCTCTGTGTTGGTCACAGTCTGTGTTCTGTAGGAGTCTGTGGTCTCGGTGTGGACTGTGGGACCCTGCACTACACCAGGAACGTGGCTGCGCTCGTGCATTAGTTTCACATGTATAATACTGTGGAGAATACTGAGTGGAATAAACAGCCCTTCTCCCTGTTTTGGTAAACCAAACATTTAAATGCACAAATCTGAAGGTCATTCTTTCATATACGTGGATTTTCTGATCAAACACTTCCTCAAACTGTGTTCACTTCTGCTTCTCTCCACGAGTGTCGCTTTTTTCTCCGTGTCTCCAGACTTTGCGTAGATGTTACAGGAGGTCCCGAGTTGGTGTAGAGTTAAACAAAGTTCCATTCTTTAGTCGAGTTTCATAAATAGTGCGCTTGGCGCATACGCAAGGATTCACTTTGACCTAACGAACTACAAGTTCATCTATATTATAATTTCAATTTTTTTAATGCATTCATTTTATAGGCCTATTTATTTTACTTGTATTAAGTGTTGCACACAATTATTATTATTACAATTGTTATGAATTGTTATTTCTTCCGCTTATCCCGCGACCCGACCTTGGATAAGCGGAAGAAAATGGATGGATGGATGGACAATTGTTATGAATATTATTATTGTTAATATCAACAGGACTACCTACAATTTGTAATTTTTCACTCTCCTTTGCCAGTGTCAATCACCAGATGTTTCTTACCTTGACAGTTTCTGACCTTGTCATTAGAAAATAAATAAATGGAATACAGTGAACGCGTTCATGCACAACACTGTATTCCATTTATTTATTTATTCAAAAGAACGCGTTCATTGAACACGTTCATTTTTCAGTGAACTTTGAACTGAACGCAACACTTTTGTAAATCAAGAACTTGAACGTGAATTTATTCAAATTATGTGTGATGAACGACGTACGTCACTGTTGGAGTTCAGTTAAACGTCGGAATTTGTTTTCACCTGACGAGTGACGATCTGCTCGCACTTCACCTCGCGAAACCACAGCCGCGTGTCAACGCGAAGGCGACTCCACCGGCAGCTTTAACGGAACGTACGGCTCTTGTGTCTCTCAATCAGAAGTCAATCAAACTTGACTGGGCGCGTTTAGCTGCTTGTATTTACCTTCTGTACAGTCTGACCACGGCAAACGCAAGGATTTCAAAAGTAAATTTCAAAGCACTAATTAACAGTCTATGTGGATCTGGGCTCTTTCACTTGATACACAACTGCCCAGGGAGCACAATGTGCTGATGGTAAATACACAAATACAACAACAGATACATGCTCTTTGTGTATTTTGACGCCTACGCTCGTGTAGAGCCTCTAAAAATAGGATGGATCCTATTTTCTGAAATCTACACGCACAGGACGTGCTGCTCCGCCCGCGTATTATTTTACTTGGTACAAATGTCAGTAACGCGCGTCACAATGCTTTTTTTCATACAAATTTGCTAAAATCACCGCGATATCAGCAGGGGTGAAACGCCGGATGTTCGCCCGCGTAGACCGTGATCCTGAGCGAAAGGACCGACGCAGAAGTCCGCGCTCCACCGAGATAAACGCAGCTGACGCCCGAGCGCACTCGGGGTTCTCTCAGGGGCGGTCCTAGATTCCAAGTTCTAGTCCAGGATTAGTCCTGGTTTGGTCCTGGTTTAGTCTTGGTTTAGTCCTGGTTCAGTTCTGGTTTAGACCTGGTTCAATTCTGGTTCAGTCCTGGTTTAGTCTTGGTTTATTCCTGGTTTAGACCTGGTTCAGTCCTGGTTCAGTTCTGGTTTAGTCCTGGTTTAGACCTGGTTTAGACCTGGTTCAATTCTGGTTCAGTCCTGGTTTAGTCTTGGTTTATTCCTGGTTTAGACCTGGTTCAGTCCTGGTTCAGTCCTGGTTTAGTCCTGGTTTAGTCCTGGTTTAGACCTGGTTTAGTCCTGGTTCAGTCCTGGTTTAGTCCTGGTTCAGTCCTGGTTTAGTCCTGGTTTAGTCCTGGTTCAGTCCTGGTTCAGTCCTGGTTTAGTCCTGGTTCAGTCCATATACGGCGCAAAAGTTCAGCATCATAACAGTTCTTTTGGTGAGAGTAAATTAAAAGTGCTGCAATAGTCATATAATGTTTTACATTTTAAATACAGTAATATTGTAATGTAACAAATTACTTTGAAATTACAGTAACAAGTCATAAATAAAACTTTACAGTTTTAAAGTCACTTGTCCAACAGTGGATCTTGTAAAGTTGTTGTAAACTAGAAGTCAGTTTGAAAAATAAATGCAGCCTTTCATTTACAGATCTCATCTAAATATAAAATGAACTGAACTTTGAACTAGTTCAAAATTAAAATTGTGAACTATGAACGTGAACTATTCACTTTGAACAAGTGTGAACTGAACTTTGAACTAGTTCATGAAAAGTGTGAACTTGCACAACACTGATGGAATATCTGTGGTATTTCAAATTAAAAGTGTGAAGTGTTTACTACTTTTGCAAACCATTAATGATGACAAACAAAATAAATCTGTGGCAGGATTGATGTGTTGTGTAGTAGAGGGGAGGCCTGTGCCAGGCTGCTCTTTTCTACTCCACAGTGAGGCTCGCTGTGCCCATGCTGGTTTGGGTCATACAGTTCTGTTATACGGCCCCTGGCCCCCATCAAAGTCAGGAGCGATAATGTGGCCCCCAGAGAAAAAAAGTTCGGTGACCCCTGATCAAAACAGTGAACATGTCCAATGTGTCGCACAAACGAGTTTCCGTCCACTAAACGAGCAACAAAACTGTAGCTAACAAAATGTAGCAGAAAATCCTGTTGGAGATCTAAGGACAAAGCAGCCCCGGATATCGATACTGTCATCACATTCAACTATATGACATATCAATATATTTGGATATTTTTGCACACACCCCTAGTGACAACACTAATTCAAAGTATAAGTATAAGTAGTATTTAGTATCTCAGGTCTTTGTGAATATAATAGGATGGTGCTACTTTCTGCTTTTACTCCAGCATGAAGGTTCTTACAATACCATCATTTAAAACTTGATTTCAGTTATAATTCATATTGATATTTGTTCAACTTATACTAGTCAATACAAGTTTTACTATTGATTAGTATCTGATTTTTGGAACTGTTCACACCCCCATGGCCTATACATCTTCTAAAATGCTGCTTTTGGACATTATTGGAACTACTAGAGGCTAAGTGGCGGAGAACATTTGTGGCTACTCTGCTTGACGGATTTTTGGTCAGTCTGTCACAACAAGAAGTTTAGAAATGTCACATATTGCTGAAGAAAATATAGGCAATAAACGAAAGTATTGCACCTCATTTATCACACTGACACAAGAAACAGGAGAATCCTCCAAAACTATAGACATGCACACAACTGTCAAGTTATTTTTCATCTTCTATAGCTCAAGTATGATTGTATGAGAGAAAAGAAAAAACGTGCCCATAATGTTTCCCAAAAATATATACAGGCCAACAGGCCATCACAGAGAAGTGTCCAACTGTCCCTGCGCGGGTCTGGAGCGGGGACAGTTGGACGCGCAGCCCCGTGGTCACGCAGAGGAGCGAAAGTAAAACGTCACGATTTTCGGAGTGTGTTGTGTTAAAACTACAAGAGTCTTACAGACATGCTGTTTTCCATTCATTGTCCATTAAACGTATGACAGTGACTATTGCAAAAACACAAACCGCAGTGTGGAATGCATTTGAAACAGTTACTGCTGACGCCACATGAACTATGGCACTGTAAAGCGCGTGCACGGCGCAGTGACACTGACGCGGATTGGTCATATTTTTGTAAGAATACTGGCAAAAAGATTCCACACTGCAACTTGTGTTTTTTAAAATAATAACTGTCTTAATACTGACATATGAGATTACTTTATTAATTCAAATGACTTGAAAATAGCAGATTGGGACTGTATTATTTGTACTATTACATTAAATAAAAGATAAATAAAGTGCTGCGTTTAGATGACATAAGTAACATCACAACGTTCTATAGACCAAAAATATGTAATACAGACGGGGGCAGCTACAGTTGTTATTGTTTAAATGCAGAGTCTGTTGTAATACAGTGAGTTCTTGAGTCGAATCACTCATGGAAATTAACAGATTGAAAAACTGTGCATTCACCTTTTGGATATTTTATGGTAATGTACAATTTAATCAAATGGAAACTCTGCCCCTCGCCCCCCATTTAAGAGGATGACATCATCACATTCTAGAATCTAAAAAAAACACCAATAAAAACAAAAATAATCCGCGCAAAAATGGCATTACACTTGGCCAAGTGTTTACAGAAGCCAGTTGTGTTGTTCTAATGTACCTCGGTCGACTGAAGCTCCACAGACAGGGGAGGTGTAACCTTCGAAGGCAGCCCGGGCCGGTCTGCGCGCACATGGCCCTCACAAGTGGTGCGCCCTCCTCCGCTCCGCGTGTCCGGTGTACCTGCGCAGGTGAGCGCTGCACTGATGCCTATATGCAGAGAGAGAGGAGGAGGAGGCGGGGCTTGTGTGAGGGCTGTGCGGATGTCTCATGTTTACCACCGCAGTGACATTTCTGAGCGGTTTCAGTGATGAGCCCAGGGCGGGGTGTGGTGCTGGGAAAAGTCTTCTGCATATTGGCTGTGGTCTGTCCCATAGAAATGAAAGTTTTGCTGCTGCAAACTCTTGCAGTTAATGTTACCGCAGTCTCAATGTCCTCTGTGTCTCAGTCACAGGTGTGAGTGCAGTTTAACAGGAGGACCGGTCAGGGAGGGCCAGCAGGTTCTGTGAAGGTTCTGTCCCTCCTGTGGGGTGGAGGGTGGGGGGATGAAATGGTCCATTCCCTGTATTTCCTCTGAAGATCTTCTGCCATATCTGCTGTCACATATGGTGTCAAAAATCTGTCCAATCTCAAATGTCCTTAGCTCTCCATGGACACGGAAAAACAAACGGCTCATTAAACACCATCCAACTGTTCCTTACTTGTGTCCTTTGAACTGCTGCACTTCTAAGTGCTTAAAAATATGATTATTATATAATGATATAAGAGATTTCTTTAATGACATGACTTAATAGCAGATTCCCTCTGTAGGTGTGTTTAAGATGGTCGGAGAGAGCAGGCGGCTGCACTCAGCCAGTGCCTCACATCACACAGAGTAACACTGATTTGAAGTGGATAAAACTACTTCAAACTTTGCGACTGTATTCTTTGGTTTCTCCACACAGCACAGACACGGGGCCTACAGCAACACATACACGGACAAACTACATTTTAAATGGCAGTTGTTTGTGAAAACAAGTTTTGAACTGGCAACTGACACAAGCAGAGGACAGCAGAGAAACAATTCTAGTTCATTTCTAGAAGTGAAATTGACCTGTGATTAAATTCTTTGCTCTGAACAATTTGAAATGAGCCTTTAATGGTCTTTAACAGACAATGAACTAAAGCAACAAGTGATCCAAAGTGTAAAATGTTGTTTATAACACTTTAAACCAGTGAGTAATGGTGAGGGACTCTCCTTTGCATAGGGCCCACACACACACACACACACACTTTTTTTGGTTTAACACACAAATTGTCACGCCCCTGCCTGTCCTGAGTCTTCTGGGTGTGGACGTGGGCGGAGTCTGCTGGGAGCACCTGCTTTCCATCTCCAATCAAGCCTGCTACAAAGGCCCAGCTCTCCTGCCAGACTCTGCCAGATTGTTTTGTCTACCTGACGGTGATTTTCCTATCGGCTCAGCTTTTGATTTTTCCTCGCTTGCTATATACTTACCTGTATTTTTGTGCTCCTAGTTCCTGCCTCTCAAGACTTCTACATCCCGACATCTGGCTCCTCATCTCTCCACCACCAGACCTCCCTGGTTAATAAACCTTGTTTCTTTTGCACTTTCTTGTTGTAGTTTTGAGTCTTTTTTGGGTCCACTCCAGTGTCACATAACACAAATGCTTTTTTTCTCAAACAGAAAACACTCCTTCCACATTGCTGACTCATGTGGTACAAGAGGAAATACTCCACTTCCTACTTTTCAAACTCCATACTTCTTAGACACACACAAGAATTATTTGGATAATTTCATCCCAGGCATTGTCAATCTCTTCTGAATTCAAGATAAAACTGTTAATTGTTAACTTGCATGACGCCACAAAGTGGAACAGAGTGTTTGAGCTTTGGAGATGTAGACAAACTAACAAAGTGTTACTCAAATGTGTGAAAGAAAGAAAACACAACTCCAGGTGTGTTTTAGAGGAGGTAAAAGGATTATAACATGGACAATTTTGCATACTATAGGAGATTAGGTAAACATCTATAATGGTTCATGTTAGGAAAAGGGTATGGGCTTTCTATAATGTGAAACAATGTCAGCCTTTACGGTCTAAACCAGACATGTCAAACTCAGGCCTGAGGGCCAAATTTGGCCCGCTAAATAATTATATTTGGCCTGTGAAATATCAAATATGTATTAGAGCTGTCCGCCAGCTACACATAGGCTATAGAGACATTACTGACTTTTGTTATCTTATATTCTGTTTGTTCTGGATTCAATGTTAAAACATCCATCCATCCATTTTTTTCCACTTATCCGGGGTTGGGTCGCGGGGGCAACAGTCTGAGGAGGGCCTCCCAGAGTTCCCTCTCCACACAAACTTCCTCCAGCTCTTCCAGTGGGATCCCAGGCCCGAGCCACCTTAACTGGCTCCTCTTGACATGGAGGAGCAGCGGCTCAACTCCGAGGTACTCCCGTGTGACTGAGCTCCTCACCCTATCTCTAAGGGAGCACCCAGACACCCTGGGAAGGAAACTCATTTCAAGCACTTATATCCGCGATCTTGTCCTTTCCGTCACTACCCAGAGCTCATGACCATAGGTGAGAGTAGGAATGTAGATTGACCGGTAAATCGAGAGCTTTGCCTTTCGACTCAGCTCCTTCTTCACCACAATGGTCCGATACAGCGACCGCATCACTGCCGACGCTGCACTGATCCACCTGTCAATCTCACGCTCCATCCTCCCCTCACTCGTGAACAAGACCCCGAGATACTTGAATTCCTCCACTTGAGGCAAGGACTCTCCACCTGGAGAGGGCAAGCTACCTTTTTCCGCTCAAGGACCATGGCCTTGGATTTGGAGGAGCTGATCTTCATCCAGGCCGCTTCACACTCGGCTGCAAACCGCCCCAGTGCATGTTGAAGGTCCTGGTTTGATGAAGCCAACAGGACAATATCATCTGCAAACAGCAGGGATGAAATCCTGTGGTCTCCAAACTGGAACCCCTCCAGCCCTTGACTGTGCCTAGAAATTCTGTCCATAAATACAATGAACAGAACCGGTGACAAAGGGCAGCCCTGGCAGAGTCCAACATGCACCGGGAACAGGTCTGACTTACTGCCAGCAATGCAAACACAGCTCCTGCTCCAGTGGTACAGGGACCGGACAGCCCTTAGCAAAGGGCCCCGGACCCCATACTCCCAGAGCACCCCCCACAGGACACAACGAGGGACACGGTCAAATGCCTTCTCCAGATCCACAAGGCACATGTGGACTGGTTGGGCAAACTCCCATATGAACCCTCAAGCACCCTATGGAGAGTGTAGAGCTGGTCCAGTGTTCCACGGCCAGAACCAAAACCACACACTGCTCCTCCTGAATCCGAGGTTCGACTATCAGCCGGATTCTCCTCTCCAGTACCCTGGCATAGACCTTACCGGGAAGGCTGAGGAGTGTGAATCCCCTGTAATTGGAACACACCCTCTGGTCCCTCTTCTTATACAGAGGGACCACCACCCCGGTTTGCCAGTCCAGAGGTACTGTCCCCGACCGCCACGCGATGTTGAAGAGGCGTGTCAGCCAAGTCAGCCCCACAACATCCAGAGACTTAAGGTACTCAGGACGGATTTCATCCACCCCCGGAGCCTTGCCACCAAGTAGCTTGCCAACCACCTCAGTGACTGCAGCCAGGGTGAAGGATGAGTCTCCAGCCTCGGCTTCCTCCTCGGAAGACGTGACGGTGGGAGTGAGGAGATCCTCAAAGTATTCCTTCCACCGCCCGACAACTTCCCCAGTTGAGGTCAACAGCTCTCCCCCCGCACTGTAAACAGTGTTGGTGAAGAACTGCTTCCCCCTCCTGAGGCATCAGAAGGTTTGCCAGAATTTCTTTGAGGCCGTCTGATAGTCCTCCTCCATGGCCTCCCCGAACTCCTCCCAGCTCTGCGACCGCACGGGTTGCAGCACGCTTGGTCCGCCGGTACCCGTCAGAACCACCGGGTTTCGGGGATTGCCCCCGCGACAGGCACCACAGACCTTACGCCCACAGCTACGAGCGGCCCACTTTGACAATAGAGGCTGAGAACATAGCCCACTCAGATTCCATGTCCCCAGCCTCCCCCGGAATCTGTGAGAAGCTCTCCCGGAGGTGTGAGTTGAAAGTCCCTCTGACAGAGGGCTCTGCCAGACGTTCCCAACAGACCCTCACTACACGCTTGGACCTGCCAGGTCCCTCCGACTTCCTCCTCTGCCAGCGGATTCAACTCACCACCAGGTGGTGATCGGTTGACAGCTCAGCCCCTCTCTTCACCCGAGTGTCCAAGACACGTGACCGGAGATCAGATGACACGACTACAAAGTCGATCATCGACCTCCGGCCTAGGGTGTCCTGGTGCCACGTGCACTTATGGACACCCTTGTGCTCAAACATGGTGTTTGTTATGGACAAACTGTGACTAGCACAGAAGTCCAATAACAAAACACCGCTCGGGTTCAGATCGGGGAGGCCGTTCCTCCCGATCACCCCTCTCCAGGTGTCACTGGCGTTGCCCACACGTGGGCGTTGAAGTCCCCCAGTAGAACAACAGAGTCCCCAGTCGGTGCACTGTCCAGTACCCCTCCCAAGGACTCCAATAAGGCCGGGTACTCTGCACTGCTGTTTGGGCCCGTAGGCCGACACCACAGTGAGAGACCTGTCCCCGACCCGAAGGCGCAGGGACGCAACCCTCTCGTTTACCGGGGTGAACTCAAACACATGGCGGCTGAGCTGTGGGGCTATAAGCAAGCCCATATCAGCTCGTTTGCCGCTCCCCGTGGGCAACGCCAGAGAAATGGAGGGTCCAACCCCCTTCAAGGAGTTGGGCACCAGAGCCCAAGCTGTGCGTAGAAGTGAGCCCGACTATATTTATCTCTCAACCTCCCACACAAGCTCGGGCTTCTTCCCCGCCAGTGAGGTGACGTTCCACGTCGCCACAGCCAGATGCTGTGTGTGCGGAGCAGGCTGTTGAGACACCCGTCAACGACCCCGCCCAGTATTCTATGCACCCGACCTCTATAAACCCCTTTGCGGGTGGTGAACCCACAGGAGGGTGGACCCACTTCATCCTTTCGGGCTGAGCCCGGCCGGACCCCGTGGGCAAAGGCCCGGCCACCAGGCGCTCACATTCGAGCCCCAACCCCAGGCCTGGCTCCAGGGTGGGGCCCCGGA